ACATAAATGAGAATTGAATCGAATTGTTTTCTAAAGGAATCCAGATACTTGTTAAGTGCTGAAACACAACCAAATATAGACTATCTAGAAAAATTATACACTTTAATAATAATAATAATAATAATAATAATAATAATAATAATAATAATAATAATAATAATAATAATAATAATAATGTTTTCATTCGACTCATCCCTGTAATCAGGCCAAACCCAGTACACCAAACCCAATAATATGTATGTAAAGGTGTGAGAACTTTGTCCCACCTGACTCCTGTGCAATTATATTTGGGTTCACGCCCTTAATGTTTAGTTAACTGTTTGATTTAAAATGAATGAATGAGTTATGATCAGTAGTGCTGTCTAAACCTGCTTTACAGCCAATACTCTCAAACAAACATGGCCACCAAACAAGTCATTCACACACTTTCTTTTTTCGGTTTTCTTTTTTTAAGTGTTAAGCTTCACAAAGCACAACATTGCATCATAAATTTCAGCATTTAGCTCATTAATTAGCAGGTGCATTTAAAGAACCAAACCATTAGCCTGTGCTCATTTTGTTATGAAATTTCCCAAATAACCAGCTCACTCTCGAGGAAGGGGACGAGGTCCCAAAAGAACGTACAATTGAAACTAAATGTTGGACCTTTGCCAAACCTGAGTCTTTTTTGTTTCTCACGCTTTATTTATTTATTTATTTATTTACAAAAAGCATTAACGAAACAAAAACTGTTACATACAAGTAGATTCAAACAAGCAAAAACGAAACAAAACACAAATCACTGAAGTAACTGGAATTACTAGCGACTTCTAAATCATCTGAATTTAATTAGGATGTGTCCTATTAGATATAATGGCCTTCATCCATCCATCCATCCATCCTCTACCGCTTACTCCTTTTCAGGGTCACAGGGGAACCTGGAGCCTATCCCAGGGAGCATCGGGTACAATTCGGGGTACACCCTGGACAGGGTACCAGTCCATCTCAGGGCACAATCACACATACATTCACACCCCCATTCATACACTACGGAGACTTTAGACACACCAATCAGCCTACCATGCATGTCTTAAGACTGGGGCAGGAAACCAGAGTACCCGGAGGAAACCCCCGCACCACGTATGCTGGCCTTGTTATCTTTTATTTTTTTTAATTAAAGTTGTATATAAATGTTTTTGTCACAAATAAATTCTTTTGTACCCAGCGTGATACATGAGGCCCATTGTATGTTTGAGATCTCCCAGATCTCTAAAATCAGGAAAACCACGAATTACATTTCAAATTCCACAATATTAGCACAAACTAATGTAATCTCTCATGAAGAAAAGCCCTCGGTTTAATGTGTAAAGGATAAAACATAACTGGGAAAACGTTTATCGGAAAATAATCATCACAGGTTGGTGTAACACGAAGCACAGTTACGGTTACTACTCTAAAGCGGATTATTTTCCGTTTACATTTGACATTTATTCGTTTAGTAGAGGCTTTTATCCAAAGAAACCAGAAAGTGCAAATGTGAACACGTTCCTGTGTCAGAGAACTTGAATAACATGTATTTTAATCTGTTTTTTTTTTTATTCATCTCAGGTTGTCTGTGAATGAGTAGTTACTATAGAAACGATATTAGCACATACTCTGCGTTAAAATGCGTACGTTAACATAAACCTGTGATATGAATCGCACGCAGCTGCACTACAGTCAGAGTCGCTATGATAGAACATTACTCCACATCTTCTGACTAATCAGATTCAAGAATGAATCATCTGTGAGGTATAGCTTAACAGAAAAGCAAACTGTAACCATGCAGGAGATTTATTTCACTTTCCGTTTCTTAAATCCAGATGGAACGAGTTAGGAATGAGCTTAAATGCAGTCATTTAACTTTTGGATAGTGTCGTTATCCACGCTTCTACAGTTCAGAGTGAACAATTAGCCACTCGAGCCCACCTGAGTCACGGCCCCGGTGCGAGTGCACTAGCTGGCATTTAGTGGAACTCATTGTTATGGCTGAGGATTAAAAATCCACCCCAGTACTGAGGAAGACATTTCAGCACATCATGCACAAATACCTCAATCTTTGAATAATTTTTTATTTTTTATTTATAATTTTTTTTTAAGTGTGCTCTCAAAATGTGTGAGTGTATCATTAGAAAACATTTCATATTTTTATACTGGGACAGAGCAGAAACGGAATCGATATTCATTTCACTCGGAATTTCGTTCATTATTTCCTCTAGCGAACGAGGTGTGAACATGCTGCGTTCCAAAATTCCAGAAAATGTGCGAGAGATGAGAGGCACCTGCGCTCCACGACACCGGCTTTCAAAGGAATCGAATGGCTTTACCGATCAGTCCCTCTTTAATGACCTTTTCTGTGAATAACAGTGAGATAATGAAAGCTCCAATAGGTTCTGCTGTTGATTGTTTGTCTTGTTTATTAAAAATGGACGTATTAGAACAGGGACTTGTGAAAAAATTCCTTTTCGGGGAAAGTTTTATTCTTGTTAATAAAGCTGAAGATTGCAAACTCCGGGGTGGCCGAGATTTAGTGTTTTGATAATTGGGCAATGGTGGCTTGGTGGTTAGGGCTCTGGGTTACTGATCAGAAGGTTGGGGGTTCAAGCCCCAGCACTGCCAAGCTACCACTGTTGGGACCTTGAGCAAGGCCCTTAACTCTCTCTGCACCAGGGGGCGCTGTATCTCTGTGTGTGATCAATAAAGACTCATTATCAATAACTGAGAGGAAATAACGTAGAGGAAATTACATCAACGTATTCAAACCATTTCTCGTTAAAGCCTTGCTACCTGTGAATTTTTGAAGAAACCACAAGAAGCATCACGGTTTCGCCGGTGTGTTTATGGACACATTCAGTTTGTCTTTCTGCAGATATTTCTAAAGCATGGGCTTGCCTTTTAGTTCTTAAATTATAATTAGAGGTTAGCATGTTTGCCTCGCACCTCCGGGGTTGGGGATCCGAATCCCACCTCCGCCCTGTGTGTGTGGAGGGTGCATGGAGAGTGCACCACCCCGTGCTTCAGGGGTTTCCTCGGGGTACTCCGGTTTCCTCCCCGAGGCCGAAGACATGCTTTGTAGGCTAGTTGGCATGTCCAAATTGTCTGTAGTGTGTGAATGTGTGTGCGATTGTCCCCTGCGATGGATTGGCACCTTGTCTAGGGTGTCCCCCGCCTTGTGCCACGTGTTCCCTGGGCTCACCTCGAACCTGTGTAGGAAGATGGATGGATGCATGCGGTATGGAAGATGGATGGATGGATAGATATACACTAGATATACATTATTTATTTATATATATATATATATATATATATAGATAGATAGATAGATAGATAGATAGATAGATAGATAGATAGATAGATAGATAGATAGATAGATAGATATAGATATATATATAGAGAGAGAGAGAGAGAGATTTTTTAACTAATGATTTAAACCACTGTATTACCTTAAGCAGGATAAGGTTGTTACTGAAGATGAATGAATGCTGCAAATGCATTATGCATCCAGTCCACTCCCATGTTAATGAACGTTGTCTTTCTTTGTCCTGCGAGCTTCGTATCTGACCGCGCGCCCACAAGGCTTCCTTGTTCGTCTGATGCAAACCTGAGGCTTCCAGCAAGCCTGTATGCAGCGCAGAGAATCCGACACTGATAAACAGGTGGATAGTATGCCAGGGATGGACCCCAAATCTGATAACTCCTAACTTAATAAAAGATTGAAGCCCTGCAGATATGAGCATGCACACCTCAGCCCTTCAGCCTGTAATAATCAGTGATGCTCTGACCTCTCGAGCTTGATGGTGTGAGTCAGATTTATTGATCATTATGTGCAATCTGTTGAAGGTTCCTAACATTTTCAAGTGCTTTTAATAAAGCATCTATCTGTAGAGTGTGACTGGACTGTAATGTACTGCATCTCTCCGCGTCTGGCTGATGTAATGTGCACGAGTGTGTATGAGAGACTCTGGAAGCTATTTTATCTTCTGTTTCATCGCCATCATGAGGAACACTGCAGATTTTGGGAGAGAGAATTCTCCCCACATTCCTGTGTGGTCACATGACAAACACACTCCCACATACACTATGTGGCCAAAGTTTGTGGACACCTGTGCTCGTTGAACATCCTGCTTCAGATTTATTCCGCCTTCGCCGTTATAATAAGCTCCAGTCTTCTAGGAAGGGTTTCTGCTAGATTTTCGGGCGTGGCTGGGGGATTTGTGTTCATTCGGCTAAAAGAACATTAATGAGATCGGGGACTGATGTTGGGTGAAGAGGCCTGGAAAGCAGTTGACGTTCCAGTTCATACCAATGGTGTTCAGTGGGGTTGAGGTCAGGGCTCTGTGAAGGACGCTCTGTGAAAGTTTTTGTACACCAAACTTCACACACCATGTCTTCATGGAGCTCGCTTTGTACACAGGGGCATGGTCATGCTGGAACAGGTTTGGGCCTCTCACTTCCAGGGAAGGGAAATTGTAATGCTACAGCATACAATACAGAGACATTCTATACAACTGTGTGCTTCAACGTTATGGCAACAGTTTGGGGAAGAACCACATAGGTGTGTTGGTCGTGCGTCCACATACTTTTGGTCTGGTAGATTCCCTCAGACATCATCCTTACAGCTAGAGTATATAGGTTATGTTTAGCCAATGAGGTAAAAAAATTTATTTAAAAAATACACATACAGCAACATGTCCATGACGGAAGCGACTTAGCTAAATATGATGTTGTGGAGGGCCAACTGGGACAATGAACGCTAGAATGTTTTTCAGCTCGTAATGATTTATGTTCCACTCCCACTTTGAATATTTAATTGAGAATTATTCGATAACAGGAACCTAGAGATACAGGTTGCCTTTCCCAATGAAATTCTTACCTTGCGTCGTCTTCGAAAGAGAAACGCAGCCTTACAAAACGATGACATCCGGGTGCTCACGTTAAGACAGGTATACAGTGAGCTTGAGAGTGACTGACATTGTTGTTGTTTTCTGGTGGTTTAGTGGTTAGCACGTTCGCCTCACACCTCCAGGGTCGGGGGTTCGAGTCCCACCCTGTGTGTGCGGAGTTTGCATGTTCTCCCCGTGCTGCGGGGGTTTCCTCCCCCAGTCATTTGAAAGCTGCCAATAGTTCTGGAGTTGACCTTGCATAATAAACTCATATTGTATGAATATGCCAAAGACTTCTGTAACAGTTAGCTTTAGCTGCATCATGTATACGATCAGAACTTTCTGAACTCGCAGTTGTTGTCATTTCTGCCATGTGAATATTATTTTAAATGATATCTAATAACTCCTACAAGCTTAAATCATTCAAGACACTTTAAAATTCCTGGGGGGAAAAAAAACAAAGTCAATTCTTTTCTGCTGCATGGCCAAGAATCGATGTCGGTGTATCCCGTCACAGTAAGCAGTGTCTGGGCTTAGATTCAGCTCAGCATCAGCTCCTTCACCCTGACAATTAATCGAGAACACTTTAAAAGGAATACAAGTAGAAGGCCGTAGCAGGTGGTTAGTTTGTGTGAGAATGTGTGTGTGTGTGTGTGAGAGAGAGAGAGACAGATTAAAGAACGCAGTCAGTGGTCTGATGTGTAGTCATGTGTTTCCACTGCGTTTAAGTGAACACTATTAGACCAACACTGCGTTTGTCTGAGTACATGGACAGAAGTGTATGTTCTTACCCATGATTCTGCTTGTGCACACACATACATGCAGATACATCTATGTACAGGGTGAGATTACAGGTACAACCATCGGACTGTTTTATCAAGGTGTGTGTATTTCTGGTCGTCGCAGTCGTCCGGTGGTTATTCAATAACAGGCAGTCTGCAAACTGAACTACACACGTACTACAGTGAATACAAACAACATTCTCCTCCATCAAGTCTGCAGTCTCGCTCGTAGATCATTTAATGACAAAAGCACACCACAGGATTAAGCAAAGATGTCAACAACAGTGGACCTCGTCTGCATTGTTATACATGCAAGTGGTCCATTAGAGTGGAAAAAGAAAACAGCTCTGAAAAATACATTATAAAAGTCATTATACAAAATTATATTCTACTGTGTGACTGTCTGTCTGTCTGTCTGTCTGTCTCTCTCTCTCTCTCTCTCTCTCTCTCTCTCTCACACACACACACACACACAACTATCTATACACACACACATACATGTTCCATTGAGTATTATGCCTACAACTGCCATTATTCGTCTTTTGCATGTTAGTGCTGCCCCCAAGTGGTCGTTAGAACACAGTGCAGTTTGTTGCCTAATGACGAACAAATAAAGTACAAATAAATAAGCAAATCAAAGTATCCAAATTCAGGCGAAGGTGCTCGAGTATACACTTCAATTTACGTATGAAAGTACAAGACAACTTTACAAAAATGCAACGCCTGCCACCCTCGAATCCCACACTGATTTTAGTTTCTGAGGGTAAATTTGACCATGCTAATCACGGTGAGGTTGTCTGATGCTTGAAGCTGTCTGATGCGAAGAAGTCGCCTTATGACTATATGACAAAAGGTTATGATTAGCGAGAAATCTTGTGTTTTTGAAATGGAGAAAGTAAAGGGGTTTAGATGTACAGATTTTTTTTTAAATCAGACTGTATGTAAATTTCCACCTCCACTCAGAAGTTGCCTATTCGTTCAAGTTGGTTCCGCTTGACCCAGTCTGCACTCTCTCATCAGCAAGGCCACAGAACTGACACCCGCTGAACGATTATTGGTCTATTATCTGTTAGGAGTCTGCTGTCTGTAATCCAAGGACAGCAAAGAAAGAGCCGCTTCTGAAATATTCTAACCATCTGGTCGTGCAGGAACATGGTCAAAGCCACGGAAATAACAATGTGATTTATCTTGCAAGAGTTGCTATTGCTCAACATTAAAATAAAATAAAGTTAAATGACCCAACTCCTTCTGATTGACTGGTGTATTAAACAGCACTGAGGTATAAAGTGGTTACCCCGGGTTCCCTTATGACCTTGCAGGTATTACACGTCTTGCTCTTGGAGTGATCTTTGCTGGTCTCCACTCCTGCGGAGAGTAAGAATGATCTTGATTTTTCTCCATTTGTACACAATCTGTCTGACTGTAGATTGGTGGAGTCTTTAGAGATGGTTTTGTAACCTTTTCCAGCCTGATGAGCGTCAACAACTCTTTTTCTGAGGTCCTCGGAAATCTACTTTGTTCCCGCCAGGATACACTTTCCACAATCGTGTTGTGAAGATCAGACTCTGGTAGATCGGTGTTCTTTAAATAAAACAGGGCTCTTACTCACACCTGATTATCATCCCATTGATTGAAAACACCTGACACTAATTTCACCTTTAAATCCTAGAGGTTCACATACTTTTGCCACTCACAGATATGTAATATTGGAACATTTTCCTCAGTAAATAAATGATAAAGTATGATATTTCTGTCTCTTTGTTTAATTGGGTTCTCTTCATCTACTTTTAGGACTTCTGATGAAAAAAATCTGGTGATGTTTTAGGTCATATTGATGCAGATATAGAGAAAATGATAAACTTTCAAGCACCGCAAGATCATACTCGAAGGCAAAGGGAAACTCTCCATGGCTCCAGGTGAACTTTCAGAATAGTCACAATATGTCTGACGTTTAAGGATGCTAAATATTTTTTTATTGTGGCACAAAGGTTAATTATACCAACAACCCCACCCCACCCCCGACATTTGGTGTTTACATAAGTATTCACTCTGTGGGTCACAATACTTCAGTCATTGTACTTTGCTTCTGTACTTAAGTTCTGTTTGCTAGCTGTGTACTTTACTCAAGTGTTACTGAAATTGGACACTTGTACTCTTACCCTACTTCCACCAGTAAAAACTGGAGAGCTGATGTCAGCACACGCTGAAGTTATTCTCAACGGATTGCGCTTCATTTATTGAGGAAATGAAGAGCAAGCTTGTTGATCAAGTATGATGAGCAGCGCTGCTCTAAAACGAAACAAGGATTCACTGTAGGGAACGATGACCGAATGAAAATGACTCCGTTGCATACAGGGCTTCATAAATGCACATGTATGACTCATCATACAATTCTGAAAAAGTTGGGACAGTAGGGAAAGTGGTAATAAAAACAAAGAGGAGTGATTTGTGAATGTACTTTGACTTGTATTTACAAAAAAAAGAAAATAAATAAATGAACGTATAAAGACAAGGTATTTGATGTTTTATCTAATCAACGGCGTTTATTTTGAAACTGAAGCGCATGGTTGCGTACGCAGGTTCGAGCATGGCCTGCTGCAGTCCTGACCTGTCTCCCATTGAGAATGTGTGGCGCATTATGAAGCGCAAAATAATTCGACGAAGACTTGTACAGTTGCACAGCAGAAGAAATGCATCATGGATGAATGGTGGAAAATTCCGCTTGGTAAACTTAACCAACTGGTGTCTTCACTCAGCGCCAAAACATTTAATAAGTGTTATTAAAAGAAAAGGTGATGTTACACAGCGGTAAACAATCGACTGTCCCAATTTTTGGAGTGTGTTGCAGTCATCAGATTTGACATGAGTGTATATTTTCAAAAATAAATGTACACACAAAGTAAAACATCAAATAATGTGTTTTCAATATAATACAGGGTGAACGTTCAAAGGACTCTTTTTAAATGATTTATTGATTTATTTATTTTGCATTTTCCTGTCCCAACCTTTTCAGAACTGGAGTTGTAAATGATTCGCTGATTATACACTCCAGTAAACACGCAACAACGTGAGGATAACTTGTGACATTTTATTGTGAGAAACATGAGCACCACTCATTCAATACACAGTCCTGGACACACAACAGCACGAGTGAAGTACCTGCTTATGGTGCAAGTGTCCCCAAATACACTGTAGCTTCAAGCAAGGTATATGACAGTAAAGGGAATATCACACAAAAGCTTTCTCTAATATGAATCTGAAGCTACACTGCTTTCAGGAATCCAGGACATGAAAAGTCCAAACAACATACCTTCACATTCATAATCTCACTCAGTAACAGCTCCAGACTCCAGGTCCTCACCCCACACAGCAGTGTATGGAGTAAGGTGGTCTACAGAGCAGGGTGAGATCATGATTGTCGAAACACACAGAAGCTTTAGGACTCACCAAAGGACTGTGATTTGCATGATTTTAACAATAATGGATGTACGGTTAAAAGTCTTTAGAGTTTTTGTCACTGTGCCTGTCACTTGAGTATATCGGAAATCACAATCGCATTTCATTTCGGTAATTGCATTCGTAAAGAAATACTTATCCAGGGTATCTGTAGTTAGTGTGTGTGTGTGTGTGATTACCCCAGATAAGAATGCACATGCGTTTTCCTGAAAAAAGACCAGAAAATCTCACCGATTCTAGAAGTCCAAGGACAGTTGATGGTGCGTCAATAAACTTTTACGTGAAACATAACGTCTATCTGTAGAACATGTATCATTTAGGAAGCTCTAAATCTCTATAATCTGCCCTTTCAGAGACGCCAGTCTTTCCGAGTGAAGATTTTGTGGTTATGCGTTCGCAGTGTCGTTTTATTGACCTAATCATGCATGGACACTGCAACATGTTCGGAATACACGAAGAGCTGGCTTGAATTTTTTCACATTATTTATTTATTTGTTACTGTTCTGCTCCAAGGAAGCTGGATAAAACTCCAGAGGAACAGCATTGTTAAGACGTTCTCTCGTACTTGGATTTAGATCATTAGAGTTCAAATCATCAGTTCAGAATTTTCCCACACATATTCCAACTGATGTAGAATTCTTAGCTAGAATCATTAGAGTTCTAAACGTTATATTTAGAATCCTTTCATTTAAAATCATTAGAGATTGAATCTTTAGGTGGAATCTTCAGGATTATTAGATTAAGAGTCGTTATATAGAAATAATCATCAGGAGTCCAAACACAGAAGGTCAGAACCCTATTGTTCAATAGCAGAAGGTTTTATGTTTTGGTAAACGTTCGTACTTCATGAACCCGAAGTCCTACAAAGAAACTCTTTTCTCCACTGATTCCTTGGGATCTCGAAATCTATTTGGGGTGGGGTGGTGTACTCCTA